TCAATTCAGAGTAGGAAAAAGGTTACATCAATTAAAACAGACTGAAGAATATCTTACTTTTAAAATTCTGGCAAATCTGTCTAAACAGTTTCCAACTGCGATGTCAATAGTTTCACCAAATATTCTATATCGTTTTTGCGAATATGCAATCACCTGAGAAAAAAAAATAACATCAGAAAAAAGATAAGTCCAGCTTGACTCGAAAGATTCCAATAGTAAATGAACTGTCTGAAGTAAAAACATCTCTAGACTGTATAAAACTTGTCTTATGATTGGCTGGTGAAATGACCAATGAGAGACAAGATAACATCATACCTGTGTATTTCCTCCACTAACATAAAGTACTGTTGGATCTTTACAACTAGTTATTAACCTTCCCATTTCAATATCTATTACAAGTTAAGATTGTACAGTTTTTATTGCATTAGACACAATTATATCAATGATAGACACAGATAACACACTTTTGTAATTTACAGAAATGTAGTCTAGTTATTATCTTTGGCTACTTGAAAGTAAAAAAAACTTTGGGTAACAACTAGCTTTTGAACTTAATTTTACGTATCTTGATGAATTTCCATTTCAATATAGCTGCCGAATTTGATATAATTTGTTATACCTGTTTTAAAAGAGAAAGTTTTTACCAGCACCATCTTTCTTAATTGAAACTACAAAGTTAAACAAATAGTACCCCCGGTACTATGTCCAGCATATAACAAATGTTAAAGTTAAAATGTAAAGCATTAGTGGTATTTATAAGTCCATTTTTGCGACTCTGTAAAAACAGTGACTTTTGAGAAATTTTTAGCGCCAAACACATTTTTATTTATACAGTAGTATATGTGATAGTGAATTACGGTTGTAAGACAATCAATTGCAGTAATCTTTCACAAGGATACGTCCGATGCAGTGATTGACACCAATAATTGGTTTATTCCACAGCTGTGCTACAGTCCTCGCTACAATGGCGACTGACACTAACGGTGCACCCATACCAGGCCCTAAAAATAATAATAAAAATTATTATTATGAGAATAAATATTGTAGATGATTTGCATACATTACTTTTAATACAGAGATAACATTGGCACTTACCTTTTGTAAAACTGACAGCATCAAGTTGATCAGGCGTAATCTCTGCTTCATCAAGTGCCCTGTATAATAAACAGAAACATGAATCTACAGATACTATACCCACCAGTTCAAGATGGGCTGCCATATTAAATAAGATCAAAAAAAATTATCTGCATATCTATAACTAATCCCCATTCATTGCACTACCCTGCCAGAGCATTTCAAATGCATCAAAGTTATGGCACATTCATTTTCAACTTCAACATGACATGCAATTAGAAACGAAACCTAAAAGCAGTCAGACATTTTTCAAACTGAACTCGGCATGATCTATAATTACGTATGTAAAGTTTGTTTTGTTCTGGTTTCAAGAATGTATTTGCGGAGTTTGAACATGATGGGGGTCAGGACATGACAGAGATTTGGCGCTTAGCTAGTTTGAATCTGTTCTGTTCGCACACAGTCAAGATCTTGTTCTGGAATGGCAGTAACAGTTGATTTTGATGAATTTTAAACTCTAGGATGGTCACAATGTGGCCAGCATAAATAAGATCATCATAACACAAATACATATACAAATATATCTCAAAATCTTATTTTCTAATAAAGCCAAGTGATCACTCCACTCGCCTATCCCTCACCCAAGTCAAGTCCCAGAAAAGTTGATTATTATTCTCACAATCCATACAATTTTGACAAGATTTTAATAGCATACATAGTAGATCCCTTGAAAACTCATAATGCTATGTTTAGGAGAGCCATTTTAGCTCCAGTTTCATTTTTAAAAGGCAAGGCCTGCAATATATATGATGTACATTGTATATGTGAAATTTCAATATGATCGATCATACATGATACATGTGTGCCCAAGTCAAAAACCAGGAGAAACTAACAACAGACTTTAAACCATTTCATTTTTACTGCTAAAAATGTTTTGATTGCCAATTTAACGTTACATATGATGGCAAAATTTGAAACTCTTTTCTTATATGATTTAGGTGATTTGCAATTATTGGCATTAGTGTAGAAAATAGGGTTGTAGTTTGAACTGCCATTTTGAATATGTGACGAGTAAATAATTATAACAAACACTGAAACCTGTTCTAAAAACTTAACCGAACTTTTTGTACGAAACACCACCACCAATCCTAAGTATTATTTTCCCCAGCAACGTTTAATCCTATCATTTCTTGTGTAATTAAAATAAGCACTCCTGCACAAAATAATCAATCATGATTTATCAAACATTTATTCTGAGAATTCAAATTTCTTACTTTTGTAGAACTTGTAGAATGTGAGCTTGATGATGTTTAGCGGTGTCTCTCGGTAAAAATCCTGCAAGTTACATGTCATGTGGGGAAAAAATAAATTACAATTACTGTCATACAACCACTGCTTCTAAATTATCATGTAGTAATACGATTAAAAACATTACATTTCATTTCACAGATACAGATAAAATATTTTCATGTGTTGTGGAATAATTATTGTTGTGACAATTATCCATAAGTCTCTGGGTCGGGTCGTCAATCACGGCCAATTTCATGATACAACCATAAAATAGATTCTATTAAATTACTGCAAGAAATGTAACCTAATGTGTACTACACACATCATTTTGGTGCAAATTAACAATGATTCCTCAAACGACCCAAAGCCACATCTATTGGTGTACCATCTACCACCACTCAAACCAAAACACCAACCCACCATAGCAGTGCAATAGTCAGCACTTACATCCCAGAACTGTTCGTATTGGTAAAACACACAGTACACGTAATAAAAGCACAACACCATTACCTTGTCCAGGGGGAGTGATGTACGTCACTCTGGGATTAGATAATACAACACCATCTTTTATAATACCAACACCTAATTTGTTAGCGCTTCCTTCAAACCCAATTATGGTTGGCATGGCAACAGATGTACTATGGCTTCATAGAAAAATAAATGATGTACCTGGAACAAACAAGATGATTGTGAATGCGTGCTGTGATTTATTTGTGACCGAGGGGAAACAGTTAATTTTCTGGTCTGGAAGGGGGCGGATTAAAATCCTTCTGCTACCGTACACATTAATTTGATAATATATTATTAACAGTGTACAGTCAAATCAATTTATCCTGGCCACCTAAGGTGATGCGAGAAATTTTCCTTTTCACGGAGGTTCATTATATTTTTTTTCTGAAAACAAATATGACAATAATAGTCATTTGTCTCAGTACCTTCCATGCTTCTCGTAACCGTGTGTTACACAGTCAGCTGGCATCAGATAGTCATATACACCCAGCTACACCCAGCGACACCCATGCCAGCTGACTGTGGTGTGCGCACCACTTGGGCACAGGCGCTCGGAACGTTTGTTGGCTAATAAAAAATGACCTAAAATGGGATCGGCATGTTTAGTCAGTCGCCGGTAAATTCCCCCACTACTTATATAATAACACAAGGTAGGAAAGCGTTGACACCATGACATCGAAACTTCCCGAAAATAACACGATTTTCCAAATTATATTTCGATTTGCTTCACACAACTGAAGCATGATATCGGTAGAAACTATCGATCGACTTACATTACCTTTATTCTAACTAAAATGGGTTAAGTCCTGTGAAAATCGAAACACCAGAGCAATATGAATAAACCCATCTACGCGGATA